GCCGCGGCCCCTCCTGGGCCCGCCCCGGGAGCCCCCTCTCCGTCTCCTACCGCATCCACCAGCTGGAGGTGTGGGCCCGCGACAATCTGGGCTTCTCGCCCCCCGCGAGTCCCGGGGCTGTGGGCGGCGGCAGGGCAGGCAGGCCCCCGGCCCGGCGGAAATCCATCTGACAGCCTCCGTCGCGGGGGCTCGATCCTGCACCTGGAGGGTCAGGATTCACCTATCAGTGCACCCTCCGCAGAGCTTGCAGAGGGGTGAGGGGCCACGGCCTCGGTGCCGTCTTCTGACACGAGTTTTCTCATTCCCTTCTGTGGCGAGCCCCTCCCTCCTCTCCAAAAATATATTAAACTCACATCGTAAGCACAACACTACTCTAACGTCGCCCTGTAGGTGCAAATCCCTTGTAGCCCAAATTGTTTTAGGAAGGCCTGGCCACATCAGCCGCCTGGGACAGGTCTCCACAGGCCCGTGTGGCTAACTGGCCCTCCAGAGCAGGAACAGGTGGCTATTCTTCTCTTGTGTGAAGAGGCCTGCTTTCTGGGTTATAGGGGACACGGACGACTTTCAACGGTGGCATCCTACCAGTGAGGCCAGCTGCTCACACTGTGAGAAGCAAGGGGATCAGATGGACTGAAGGGAAACCTCTGTCCAGTGTGGACCAGTGGGCAAATCTCTGTGCTGTTTAAATGATGGCTCATTCTCTTGCTCAGTGTGTAGAGAGGAATTGGCTCATGTGTGAATGAAGCACATCCTCCCTTGCCCCCCACCCACCAAAGCTGATGTTCTTTGTCCTTGGCCAGCCCCATTTAGGGGTGGGTGGGGCCTTGCTGACATCCACCATGTCACTGGTGGGTGCATCCACCTAGACGCACTCGGATGCTGTGAGACAAGCTCTCTTCTGGGAGCTGTGAGCTCTGGGTCCTGCCAATCACCCACAATCTGACCTTGGGGAATCTCATCCCCTTCGTGGGCCTGTTTCCACATCTGTAAAATGACTGGTTTCACCCAGAATCCTGTTCCCTCCTGTGCATCTCTGGAAGGATTCCTGGGACAGGCCCTTGCCCCATAAGGGGATGTTAACAAAGCCCATGGTGGGGCGTGCTGGCAACCTGTGGTGCTCAGCTCGTTAAAACACCAACTGCCCTTAGCTTCCTGGACAGAGCTGTCTCAACACAAAGCAGAGCAACCCAGGTTAGAAAAGCCAAAAACTTTAATTTTCAACATGAGCTACATGGTCATGAACACAATGCAACGTGACCCACTCCAACCCAGGGGCCCCGGAAACCCTCCCTCCCCAAAGACCCGAGGGGCTCCTGCTCCCAGAGAGGGAATGAGGGAAAGGCGGGTGGATGGAGGCCCCCAGCCTGAGGACCTGGGGTCCTGCCTTCCTGCCACCCCCTCGGGAGGCAGTCGTAGAGTGAAGGGGCTCCAGTCAGGGTGCCTGAGGCCCCTGGTTCAAGTCTCCACTTTGCCCTCACAGAAGCTATGAGTAAAAGGGGCACAGTCAGCCTCCCCACAGGGCCTGTGAGTCAGATGAGCTCATGGACATGAACACTTTCCATCCACTCTGAGGTGCTGTGACACAGACATGGGCCCTCCCAGAGGCACACGGGAGTTGTTACAGGGGAACAGAGGAGGGCTCGGTCCCCTGGGCCCGGCACAGCGCTGCTGCTCAATAAAGAAATGCAGCTGGCGTCGCCTGACGCAGCAGCTGTGCTCCAAAGGGAGTGGGGCTCAGCGCTGCTTCTGAACGCTGAAGGGCGCACAGGGGCTCCTGGGTTAAGGAGCTGGATGGCGAGTCAGCGTGTCAAGTGCATAACCACCCCCCGAAACTATCTGCTTCACCTCCTCACGTAGAAGAGCGAGCTCTGAACTGAGAGAACTCAGTTCTAGTCCGGGCTCAGCCTCTAACTCACAGTGGGACCTTAGCAGGTGTCTTCCCCCCGCAGGACCTCAGCTTCCTCCTCGTTAAAATGGGGCTGATAACATAGGCCCCCACTTACTACCCAGGGCCTCTGTGAGGATCCACTCGAGGTAAAAGCACTTTGAAAACAAAAAAGTTTGAAAAGCACTACAGGAATATTAGGCATTATTACATGTGAAGGTTGTGAGGATTTCCTTAAGTTGAGGTGTACCACAGCCGCCTCACTCCTACACAGCTCCAGGCAGGAACTGTGTCCTGCCTCCCTCAAGTCAGTCCTGGAGGGATTATGGCCCCTCGGCGGGAGCCCCCACCCAAATAGCAAGGCCTGGACCAAAGCCTGTGCACCCTCAGGCAGCTGGGCCAGACCCCCAGGAGAGCTAGGTCTCTTTGGCAACCATGTCCCCCAAACCTGGGCCCAGAGAAGTTACTGGCCCACCGAGGTGGAATCAAGCAGGGCTGGGTGGCCCAGGGCTAAAAGTGGCCCATGACAAATGCTTATCATGGCAGACATGCCCTGGAGCAGTGGTCTCCTGTCCTGTGAAGGAGGGGAGCACAATGGAGCCCTCGGTTCTGTCCCCATCGCTCGCTTGCTGAGGGGTCTTGGGCAAGTCACTTCCTGTTTCTGGGCCTCAGTTTCCTCACCTCTCAGATGGGCTACAACTCGCCCTGCCCATGCTTTCAAGACCGCTGGGAAGCTCCACGGAGAGAATGGAGGAGGAAGTGTCACAGGAAATGACGGCCCCACCTCGTCCTGCCCTGGCTCCAGCTCTGCCTCGGGTAGGACAAGGCGGCCCAGGCCGTGGGTGCCACTGAATTCACGGGTGACCCCACAGGCGGCTCTTCCCAGGGCTGGGCCTCAGTCTCCTATGCTGTAAAATGGAAATGACTTCACTAATGGTCCCAAAGCCCCTTTCCCTTTTGTATGAAAAGCAGATTCTGGAGAAGGAAAGTGATGATTCCCTCCCACAGGACCCCTGTATGTGGCCTTTGGCCCAGAGCCTGAAAAAAGAATTGTCCCCTAGAGACCTAGGCCCCCCCCATCCCCCACTCCACCTTCTCTTCTCCTCTCCAAACAGTGGAGTTTGAGCTGGCAAAGGATCAGACGGCAGCGGGGCTTGAAGGTTCCCCAAAGCTGATAATGAGCATAGTCACCCCCTCCCCGAACCCCCATCCATTGGTGAGGACAGACGGTGGTTCCCATGCCAAATCACTAGAGCCCCTTGGAAGGGGAGCACGTGCTCACAATGATGATACAAAGAAACAGGGCTCCAGCCCCCACCCCACCCCACCCCTCCAGGAGGTGAGCGGAGATTTCACAGAACAAACAAGAAAGTCATTGAGGGGGGCCCTCGGTGACCACCCCCAGGATGATGTTATTGCTTTGGAGCGCTCTCTCTCTCTTCATAAAGGCTGTGCAGACACTAGAGGGTGGGATCAGGCTGGGGGGCCCCCCAGGCCCTCTTCCCCTCTGTTTGGGACAGCCAGGCTCCGCCTCCTCCTTGAAAAGCTACCCCTGAACAACCAGAGCAGTGATGGCTGGAGAGAGAAGGCGCTCTCCTGGCTCAAAATATTCCAAATGGTGAGTAATAAACGAACAGCAGAGAAATCACACTGGTTAAAAAGACAAACAGGGGAGGGGCTGATTCTGGGCTTCAGATGTGAGTTGGCCCAGAACCCCACTGCCTCCTGCCCCAGCCTTGGGATTCCACCCACCACCATCCCAGGATGCGCTGAAGACCTCCTGGACAAAGGGGCATCTCCACCTCCCCCTCCCAGTGCAGTGTGAGAAGCTCTATGGAGGCGAAATAACTCATCCAGAACTTTAAAGGATACCCAGGGCTTAAAAAGGCAGAGGGGAAGGGAGGAATTTCAGGTGGAAGGAATCACCTGGTCAATAGCCTAGAGTGGGACTGGGGACAAGGTGGAACTGAACACAGCTGGGCATCCTCATGGGAAAACGAGCCCCTCTAATGGAGCCCAGGCCCCCTCCACCAAGGCCCACAATCCTCAGGAGTGTTTCATAAATAAAATCAGTACCAAGGATAATAAATCAGAACATCTGAGTATAATGGGCAACTCCAGCTACAACCCTACAGGGAGAGGGGGAGGGGGAGGAGGAGGAGGAGGAGGAGGAGGAGGGGCTGGCCTCCCATGAACCAGGCTCCAGATCCAGGCCCAGGTCAGCGAGGAGACACCGGTCTCCTGGAATGTACTTGTAGCCCCTCTCCACCCCATCCTGGGACTCTGTAAGGACTATGTGCGAGCTAAGAATAGGCCCCAGGGCTTGGAACACTAACTACCCAGCTAACCTGGACTACGCCCTACGCAGCAGGGACTGGGTAACGAGGGATGGTGGGCTGGGGGGGGCCTCCCAGGGGAGGTGGCAGAAATGTGCTTCTATAGAGAGGGGCCAGCCTGCGTCCTCCCCAGCATGCAAAAAGGCTTCCGCTGGCCCCGGGGAGGGCCGGGCAGGGAAGGCAGCTGCCCAGGCCTGCTTGAGAAGGAATCTCCGATTCTTACACTCCTACCCCCTCACTCTTTCTCTCCTTGAGCCAAGGTAATTGAGGCCGGGGCAGTGGATTCTGCCCTTAGTACAGGATGGGTGGCTTAAAAAGACTAAAATAGGGGAGCTGTGTTCCCTCCCAAGACCCCTAGCCTGGAGGCAGAGGGGTAGACAACATGAACTTTGACCTCACCCAACAAGGAGAGATTCTCCTATGTGGCACCCTCGCCTTGGCACCACCAGTCCCCATCCCAGCTTTCCTCAGACTCCCTCTCCGATCCAGCATCCCCACAATGCAGAGATGGTGGGCTCTCTGGGCTTGGGGTTCTGGACAACCGGAGTCTGCAGCTCCTCCACCAAAACACAGACGACAGAGTCCTTTCCAGTCCACCAACAGTTTCCAAAGTAGCTTGTTGCAATCCCATGAGCAAGGCACCCTGGGGATCTGTGCCAGGCCCCGGGAACCTCCTCCTTTCCTTTGGTCCCTGCTGGACCCCAATTCCTAGAGCCACTGGAAGAGGGGCAGGCAGGAGGGGACGGACAGATGGACTCGGACAGGCTGCGGCAAAGCTCCTTCCACGGGCAGGCGGAGGGAGGCCTGAGCTCCTCTTCAAGGGGGGGATCTGGGCCCCCCGGAGCTGGCTCCGGATCCTTGCAAAGCTGCCCCATCAGCTTTGGGGCAGGAGTAGCTGCCTGACCCGGTGCCGCAGGAAAGACACTTGCTGGTAATTGGCACCATGGAGATGGCCGCTGGGTTCTGGACTTGGCTCCGGGCAGCGAGCTTCCCAGGAGGCGAAAAGGGGGAGCGGTCGGACAGCGTCTAGGGCAGGAGGATGGTTTGCTCTGCCACCTCACTCTTTCCTTTCTCTGGATTGCAGCCACATCCACCAGGTCAAGAACCGGCCAAGTCAAAACTGCAGCCAATCCCGTCGGGAGAGGGAAGGTCTCAGGGGGTAGGAGGCAAAGAAGGGGTGAGGAGGGGCCCTGGGGGGGCAGGTCTCCCCGTGCTGCTTCCCCGCTGCGAGGGAAAACCCCGGCCTCCTCTGTTCAAAGTGCCCCTGGGCCTGGGGTCCCAGGTCGGGGCTTGGCGGTCTCAGGCCATCTTGGGGAGCCCCTCCCCATCCCCGGCACTAAGATCGCTCGCCACAGGGCCCCACGGTGCTCTCCAGGGACAACTGGGATGCCTGCCGGAGCAGGGGGCCTGCGGCTGGGTCCACCATGGAGGAGGTGGGGAAGAGCTTGTACCAGCCCACGGCCAGAGTGGTCAAGTCCAGCTCTTCCAGCAGCACGCGGGCCACACCCATGAACTGCTTCCGCTCCATCCGCCCGTAGTTCCCCCACACGATCACCTGCGGGCAAGAGACACAGGGGTTCAAATCCTGCCAGTGCCACTCACAGGCCCAGAAGCAGAACCTGGAGTCACCCCCATGCCCAGTTCACCTCTGAGACTGGATTCTCCTCAAAATTGCTCAAGTCTGACCATATTTTCCAGGCTCTAGTGCCACCATGACTGCTGGCCTGGATGACTGGCTTCCGGCCTGCAGGCTTGTCCTCTGGGTCCCATGCTCCATCTTTGAACCCAAGCCTTGAGGGCTGACCCTACATCATGAGTCCCCTGCCTGCTTCCCCCACGGACCCTCTGCTTCCAGACCCTCAGAAACCCCCGACTGAAACAAAGTTTTAAAAAGTGGCTGGTATCGTGTGCATGCTAGCTACCTTCCTTTTCCCAGCAGACCCTTTTCGGCAGTGCCTTCCCCATTTCTTGGTCAACACCCTCTATTGGCGCGGCCAGTTGGGTGGGCTCTGTGGCTGCAGGACCCTCATTTGCTCTTCTGCACCTCAGCTTCTAACTCCTTGCCCCTCTATGAAGGTGGGCTGGCTCAGTCCTTCAGTAGAGCCTAGGGGCTTAACCACAGACACATGTGGTTCAAATCCCAGCCCTGGCTGTGTGGTTTGGGGCAAGGCATTTAAGACTCACGGAATCTCCTTTCTAAAGACTCCGAGTTCTCCTTTCTAAATGGAATTATCCCCTCTCAGCTTACCTCGCAGCCAAGGATCAAAGGAGAAAAGGTATGTAAGAGCTCAGCGTAAGCTGTAAACGGCTCCTCAAGCACAGAGGGTAACATGAAAACAACCTGAGCCAGCGCTACTGCTGACTGCACGTCAGGAAGCGTTCTAACGCTAAACCAGCCTTAGATTCCATCTTCCCAGCAACCCTACAAAAACGATCCGATTTCACACCTGTTTGAGGCTTAGAGAAGTTAAATCATTTGCCTGAGGTCGCTCAACTAATAAGTCTTCAGTGCTCTTTGGGCAGCTGATCAGAAGCTTCTGGTGCATGGATGGGTTCATTTTCACTGGTGTTATGGGCTGAACTGTGTGCCCCAAAATTCATGTTGAAGATCTAACCCCCAGTACCTTAGAATGTGACTATATTTGGAGAAAGAGCCTTTAAAGGGGTGATTAAGTTAAAATGAAGCTGTTAGGGTTGGCCCTAATCCAATCTGACCAGTGGTGTTATAAGAAGAGGAAATTAGGACACAGAGAGAAACCCCAGAAATGCCTGCACACAGAAAAAAGACCATGTGAGGACACAGCAGGAAGGTGGCCATCTGCAAGCCAAGGAGAGAGGCCTCAGAAGAAACCAACCCTCAACACCTTGATCTTGGAACTCCAGCCTCCAGAACCGTGAGAAATAAACTCCGTGTAAGCCATCTAGTCTACAGTGCTTTGTTATGGCAGCCCTAGCAGACTGATACAACTGGCATTCTGGAGCTCACTGGCGGTGGGTCTGTCCTGCTCTGATGTTAGTCAGAGGGCTCAGCAGCAAGGACCCCAGGTCAGATTTCTGTTTCCCCACCCCCTCCGCATCCCAGATGGATGTGCTTCTCCAAAGATGCTCAGGCCAGAACACACAAACCTTTGTCCAGTGGGCCAGATGTGGCCCAGCTGGTCTTCGGGTTGTTTTAAATTGTATGTGAATGCCTCTAGACGAGAAGGGTTTTTCCAAACTTTTTTGACAGGGATATACAGTAAGACAGACAATTATATCATCACCCAGTGCACACGTGGGATTCACAATTGAAGCGAGTGCCTCACCAAATAAGACTTACCTTACTGAGAGTGATAATGTTTTCTTTCCTATTCCTATTTCCTATTCTTATTTCTTTCCTATTTCCTATTCCATTAAAAAAGAAATACTTGTTGAGACCCGCTAAATTGATTTCACAACTCACTGATGGGTCTCAACACACAGGTTGAAAACTGCCCCAGTCAGGACCTGGGCTTCCCAGTTTGGCAAAGTCCCACTGTTTTGGCAAGTTGTAACACCTTGGCCCACCCTCATTTGCTTTGCTTGCCCAGGTTAGGAGCAAGAAATTGAGGTACAAGCCAGAGGTGCCCACGCAGCAGCTCTGAGAGAGCAGGCCTAGGGTTCCTGCAGGCATTCAACCCGGGCCCTGCCCACACCCTTGAGGGGCAGGTCTTTCTAGCTCCAGCTCTGAGTAACCATTAAGATCCTCCTAACAACCAGGGAGCCAAACACCTCTCCGGATCCTCCCCAGGCTCCCGGTCTATTATCACTGTGCTCCAGGCCAAGCCCCTGGCCTTCAGAGGTTGATGATGATGGTGATGGTCATGATGATGATGGTGATGATGATGGCAGCCGTTTGTAGAGCACTTACTACAGGCAAAACTTGCAAATACTTTTCTCGCACAAAGCACACATTTCACTGCCACAGTAATGTTACCAGGAGGTACTATTAATGTCTCCATTTTACAGATGAGGAAACTGAGGCTCAGAAAGGAACTTGTTCCAAGTCCCACAGCCAGATGTGGAGCTCAGATCCACCACAGTGCTCCATGTCCTCCAGGTGAGGCCTGCCCAGCAGCGCCTCCATCTCCCTCTGGTACTGCACACACACACGCCCCTGCCCCTCACCTGCAGGACTTTGCCCTGGGGACTCTCGGGGAACAGCAGCACCTGGTTATACAGCGGGTCCAGTGACTTGCGAGCGACTTTGGTCTTCTTCTTGGCAATGCAGACGCCGTTCTCTAGCAGGTAGGCCTTGATGTAGGCCGCTGGGGACAGAGGCCAGTGGGGTAAGTTCTAGTCTGGGCTTCAAATGGTGGGCAAAGGGCGCAGCAGAGGGAGGCTGCCTACCCACTCCTGGGGACGGGAGGGCCCCCATGGGGTTTGGGGAGGAGGCAACAGGGGCAAGTGGGGTGGTGGGTAGGGTGCAGCCAGGGTTGGGTGGGGCCTACTCCACCCCCACGGGTAGTCCTGCCTGCCTCCCCCTTTCTTCGCTCACTCACCTGTTTCCTCTCTGTCCCTGCCCCGCCCACCCCTCCCCTAGCTTATACACCCATTGCTGAGCCATTCACTCAACAAATGTTTGCTGAGTAGCCACTGAATGCCATGCACCCTACCAGGCACTGGGGTATAAAGAGGACAGATGGTCCCTGCCCTCCAGGAGCTCAGTCCAGTGGGGGAGGCTGACAAGGTCAACCGACAATCTCAACTGGGTCCCCAGAACAAACCCTGCATCACCAGTTCCACGTGAGTCACTAGAGTTGGGACAGAGGGGTCCCCCACAGTTGGGCCCAATTTTCTTTCTTCTAGACCCAGACACCCCTCAGGACATCCTCTCCACCTCCACCCCTGCCTTGCAGAGGGGAGGGCAGCCCCACACCTGGCAGTGTCTTGGAGCCTGGCTTGGCTGTCAGTCCCCGAGCCTGGATGATGTCCACTTCGAGCTGACCATTCCGCTCCTGCAAGCCAATCTCCACGTCCCCTGCAAGAGGCCCCAAGAGATGAGAGTGGGAAGTGGCTTAGAAGCCCAATCAAGGATTCAGGTCCTCCTCTCTGTTTAGGGATGAAATCTCCTTCCCCTGCTCCCAGCCCCAAACAAGACCAGAACCAACTCCCACTCCAAGTGCCTGGGCCCTGCTGAGGGCTGGCAGGTGTGGACTAGACTCCAGACTGGGTGCTCAGCAGATGGAGCCAAGGCAGAGGAGAGGGAGGGAGAGATGCAGGGCTTCTGGTGGGAGCCCCCCTCCCTCCGCCATTTGGAACAAGTCTTGGGGCACTCACCCATCGGCGTGGTGGCCAGGGTCTGGCGGCCCACAAACTGCGCCGGCCCCATGCTGCCTAGGAAGTCACTGAACTGGGCGTCCGAGGCCAGGCAAACTCCCCCATAGTTAAGGCTGCAAGAAGAGATGAGACGAAAACAAACATCCCAGGGGCTGACCGAGGATCCTGATGACTCAGGCAGTCAGCTCTGGACCGTCCCTCACTCCACGGCGATTTCCGTCTACATCCATCACCCAGCCTCAGGCAGACCTGTCCTTCTATCTTCATGGCCCTAAAATCTCAGCTCTGATGCCAAAATTCTAGGGCTTAGCTTTGTGTCCTGTACCATTCTCCTAGCTCTCCTTGCGGAGCCTCAGGTTCCATCTCCACGCAATGGGTATGGTGATGCCTGCCTCTTGGGGTGGTTGTAAGGATCGAGGGAGATGATGCTTGTCCGTGCCTGGCTGCTATGGTTTAGTGTCATGATACTCAAAGTGTGGTCCAGAGACCAGTAGCATCGCCCAGGAGCTAATAAGAAACAGAATTGTGCCCCACTCCACCGCCCAGCTGCTGAATCAGAGTCTGCCTTTTAACACGAGCCCCAGAAGACTTGTTTGCACCCGACAGTTTGAGATGCACAGGACCACTGGCTCGGCCTTGGAGATAAGCATTTGTTGCTGCTGCTGGGCGGCCCAATGTCCACTTCCCCTTCCTTTGGGAACAAGATCTAAAATCTCCTTTGGGGAGTCTCCTCCCCAAGGCATTGATTCCTGGCAGAGTGAAGCCAAAGTGGCTTGTGAGCTCAGCCTGGCCAATCAGGGCATCCTTCCCTTGGCCAGTGATTGGCTCAGAGATGGGCACGTGGCCCAATTCAGCCCACAAGAATCTGGCTGGGAAGCATTGTTTGAATGGTGGGGAGTGAGAAACTCTCTTCCCACCAGATGTGAACCTGAGATGTAAGACTGAGCTTCTGACAGCTCCCTCACTACCATCTGGAGTCCATGAATGAAGCCATCAAACTGGTGGCACTGTGTGAGCTCCCGGATCAAGCTCTCCCTGAAGCAAGTACTCCATCTTTTTTTGGTTACATAAGTAACAACAATAATTATTTTGCTGAAACCAGTTTTAATTAGTTTTTTCTTTCCCATCTCTGAAATGGGAATAATAATGTTCCCATCTCCTAGGTCTCTTATGTATATTAAATGAGATGAGGCACTAAGTACCACGTGATGTACTGATTATCTTTAGGAGCAAACCACTCGCAACCCGTTTTCTCATCTCATCCTCGCGGCAACCACAGGAGGTCGGCTTTTCACCTTTATCACCATTATTCAAACAAGGAGGCGCAGGTTCAGCCCAGACTCAAGCCACAGAGCTCACAGGGCAGTCAGTACTTGAATATGATACTTCTAACACCAATCCCAGGCAACTCTCCATCTGGGCATGTTCCAATAACAGCTAACTTTTAACATGCACCTACTGTATGCTAGGTTTCACAGCAGCAGCCGGGGAGGTCTTTGAGCAGGCGGAGGAAACTGCCTCAGGCCTCAAGGGCACTGCATGCTGTTTCCTGCCCTGAGAGCTCCCTGCGCTGCCCCCAAAGCTCCCCTCTGGGGGAACCTGCTGGGATCTCGGCTTTGAAGGAGCAGGAGGAGCTTCCAAGGGAGGCGGGGTTTCTGGTTCCACCCTGCACAGGTGCCCCTTCTACTTCAGAACCACTCTATTTTACCTTTTTCAAGTCCGTCAGAGATAACTCAATCATGGTCCTCTCTTCCCGCCTCC